ATATAAAAACCCTACAACTATTCCACTAACTGGTCAGTTCACAGAATATTTATTTCAGATATAACTGGAAGGTATATAGGAATATTTAGAAAATATTCTGCCAGGTCTCGACGTGGGTAGGTATCTAAGGCACCCGCCATATTTATCATCATTCTGAGCTAAAGCAACTCGGCCCACGATCATGTTTTTGTACCTACAACCATGTTGCGTCCAGGGCAACTATATAAGTTGAAGCGGTTCGCATTGTGCATCCATCATGAGGCTACCAATCTTCGAAGAAAGCAGGCAATCGAACTGTGAGCAGCCATGCAACACTGTGCGTTCTTTGCCCATTCCCGATGTAACAGAAAACATTTAAGTCAATTTTTTGTCCTTCCGATCCCAGTGAGTGAGACTGGTGTTGGTTGCAACTCTATAAACGCGATTTACGCTTTCACAATGATGTCAACATAGAACACGCCTACTGTACATGTTATTCTTCAAGATGTTCTGCCTTGAAGCATTGACACAACGATGGAGAACACTTGGCAAAAAAGTGGTAACTTGAGGCAGTTATATAAATATATAACTATTTACAACAAGTAGACGCAGTTGTTGCGTCAAGGGGCCCCACATTGTACCGCATTGCAAGAAGTGTTTTTCAATGGAAAAAGACGCAACAGGATAAGGTTCCCAAGTATGTTGCAGGGCAAGGCCAAATGGCATGTGCGAATAAGAGTGTCCAAAGTGATTCTAATGGCTTGAGCTTGAACATCATTTTTTGTGCTCAACATTTGGCAAACCCTTGATCCCCCTCCCTTTGAACCTCAGCTACGATGGCGTTTTCATTCGTCCTTATGTCCGGCTGCCAGGCACCAGAAGCACCAGCCCAGTCGAAAACCTGGAAGTCGGCTCTAATTACATCTAATTACCAACAAATCCAGTAACCTAGTACGGTCAACAGTCAAGATGCATGCCCAGCATCCTTTCAGCCTTTCCGATGAGCACAATCATTGAAGCATCAAAGTGTTCAATCCCATTCCACAACGCCTAGATTGCTGGCACATCAAGACCGGACAAGACAGCAGCCGCCGCTCTTGCCCACCCATTGTAATCCCTTCAAGACTTAGGCAAGCAATGTCGCCGCCATCCTTACCTGGCAATCAGGTGTGTCTAGTGGGAATTAGAGCTCCAAGACAGCAGGACTTGTCATCGAAGCGTTAGTGCACATGTTTTTTTGCATACGCATAGAATGCATAGGTTCTCTCGAGCTAGCTAGCAATAGGATAGCGGAGGAAGCTAGCCCAGTTTTGAGAGACCACACAGACTAAGCAGTGGAAACCATGTTCCGTTCTGCAATTCTTGCTGCCTGTGCGGCGACAGTGGGGTCTAGCGGTCGAGGCCTTGACATTGGGTTTGGATACGTTTGCTCTAAATCTGAACTGTGGTGCCGAGTCTTTGACAGCTTGCTTGCGCAACTGGTAATTAATTGATTACATTGGATTACATTGGTTCTAGTTCTATACATTAACATTATGCTCGTTGCATTGCCTTGCCAGATGGCGCCCAGCTCCTTTGCAGCTGTGCTTCAAAACATTGCCGTGCCACAGGCGCTGGAGTTGTTTTGTGGGTGCCCAGGAATGCCCAGAGGCTGTGTTTGTTTTCCTGTTCATTTTCGTCTCATAATACAGGAGTATTTTGGCAGCACCTTTGACTGGAATTTGAGCTTCGAAACTTCGAAAAAATGCAGGCCATAGTTGGACATCCTATGGTGCTCCCAGTCTGATGCCAAGTCAATTGCAGCACATTGACTAGGTGGTCAGAGGCACTCATTCAAGTGGGGTGCCTGCCCAGGCTCGCTCCAGTCAAAATTATTGTTTGGCAACCTTCCCAAGGCTGCTTACTTGTGTTTGACATGCCTTTTGCATCCTTTTTGCAATGTCCAACTAAGCTCTTAGCACACCGTGCAGGACACAATGCATGCATGCCCTTCTGTCCCATCGTAGCAAATTGTAGTTGTTTGGTTCAGCTTTGGAGTCCAAGAGTTACTATAGTTTCCATTATTTTGTGAGTTCTCAAGGCACAGCAAGCTGCTCCCAATTTGACTCATGTATGGTCCTCAGACACATGGGACAGACCTGCAATGCCTGCCTCGTCAAGTACTGTAAGTTGAATCGACAGAAGCTTGGCCATGGAGTGATCTATTCAAATGACATGTCCAGGAAGGAACGTCATGATTGCCGCAACCGCTCTCAAGTTGCCATGTAGTATTACCTCAACGTAGAAATCACGACTTCATAGCGCAGAGGTGGCTTAGTGTTAGCATGTTTATTTTGTGCAGGCAGTGCATGAATAAGTCATATTGACCTGCAGGTGAGTGTGAGTAACTCTATGGTTTGACCTGCAGGCTTTGGACTCGAGGGACATGCGAATGACAAGAAGGCAGTTGCTGGAACTTCTCGAGATTTTGATAGACTTTGTATTAGCGTTACTGCTGTATATTGCTTTTTGATCGGTTCTGAACCTCATTACTCATTCTAGACAAGAGGCTGAGGTCAATCAGTTGTAGGTCTATTCGAGTCTGTTGTTGTGCTCTTTGCGGAGGCCAGGATCAGAATCTTTCAAGGCCGAGGCATTCAACGGGAGATCTTGTTGTTTTGCCAAAAACTGACCCTGCAAAGCAAGCATTGACTCACACAGGCTCTAGAACCTCGTAATGGCACGGGAACCTGGTCACGTGAGTTGCAAGCTGGCAAGATATTTAGGCTCTTGCTTGCTCATTGCTCAAGAGATGTGTTTTGCTTTTTTGCAATCAATTCAGTGTTGAATTATTTTCATGTCAGAATCGTGTCAGATGTGTCACTTCCGAGTGATTTCAGTTCATTTGAGCGGGAAGCTTGAAGAAAGAGCGGCTATCGTTTGTGACTGTTTGCGGACTTGCTGAAACTTGCTGTTTGGCCATGCTTTGCCAAGGCGATGAACGAAAGGAAGAGAAAACACAGGAGGAGGAGTGGGCAAAGATTCAGGCATACCAGATGCTTTGCAAGTTACAAGGAGGCCATAGCTCTTAGGTTGGAGATGGTTGGAGGCCTTCGCTCTTAGGTTGGAGGCCATTACTATTAGGTGGGAGGCCATTGCTACTAGTTTGGAGGCCATCGCTATTAGGCAAGGTACAAGAAGTATCAGTAAGCTGAAGCTCTCAATCAAGGCCTGGACATGTTGGGTGCAGGAGAGCGAACCAATTCGTACCCTACTCAGCTGCAGCAAAATCTGTCAGTGTTGGCTAGGAACAAGTCGTTTTGTAAACCCCGTTTGGATTGTGTGGTACTGTATATTTACTTGCACCTGTTTAAGATCCTTATATATAAATTTTTGTTCATAGTACTGTCTGTGTTTTTGAACTGTTGATTTTGGATAAGACGTGAATGGAATTCCCCAAATGATCCCGCGAAGGCATTTATTTGTGTGATACATGATGTATGTTGGAGGCTCGCACAGCCTCTAGCATAGGCTTTTCAGTTTCACATAGGCAAAGTCAACTCCCGAAGGCTAACTTAAAGTCTCTAGTATCTAGCAAAGTTAAAACTGATTTTTTGGGGGGTGTTGTGAAGCCACTTTGCGACGCCCTTTGTTTTCCGCAAAGCCTCGCGAAACCACCCTTTGCACAAAATATGGCCCTGCACAAACGGCGCTCATTTGATTGATATTTTACAAGGTGATGGAAAGGCTCTTCGATTTTACTGTGTTGTCAATTTTTTGAACATTGAATAAGATCGATTCAGGAGTGTTTGAGTTTCTGAGCTTGAATACAACCAACATACAATATAAGAATAGGGGGTTGTCAAGCGGAAAGATCCTTGGATGTGTTGAGTTTAACACAAGATTGTATTAAATGTTTGGCCAGGTGGCTTTTCAGTTTCGAAGCGGTTCCCCAGGAACCTCAGAATTCCAGTTTTGGGATTCCCTTTGTCCCGAATTAGCCTTTTAGATCGTGTATATAACTGTATATATATATTATGTTATACATGCTATAGGCGGCGCCCCTGTCTATAGTAGGTAGGTGGGCAGCTGATAGATAAAACAAAAGTGACAGAGCCAAGAGACACCTGTATGGGTGTAGTGTAGTCTAAGATACCTGGTCAGGTGCTTGAACGCCCTCTATTTACAGTGAAAGTAGATACAGTACTGAGACGGCTAAAGGCGAGGCATTGTATTAAAACATATTGTGCTTTCTCCTTACAGGTCCTGGCATGCCTCGCACCCGTGCTCTGCAGGCCTTTGACTGTTAACCAAATCCAAGTCTAGTCTTTAGAAAACCTAGACCTTCTTCAGCCCTCACATTGTCCTATCCTGGAAGCCACATTGGTGCCGATCACACCGGTCACGCCTTGGGTTATTGCACACATCTACAAGCATGATACTCTGACCCAAGGTTGTCATTTCCATCGGAAGCCACAATTGAACTGCAAGATTTGCCGCCGGGCCGGGCACATAGACATGTTCGAAGGGGTTCTTCTCTCCTGCAAGAGCTCTAAGAGAATAAAGGACAAGATCAGATGGAAGATGGCTATATCAATGGAGCAAGCTGTATTTATGGAGCAACTAATATACCAAATGGAACTTGAAAGCAAGGTTTGCTGACCTTCAGGTCTACTATTCTGCAGTGGATCCGAACTTTCAGAAAAAGGACGCAATCATACAATCAAACTGTGTGTTCTGGAGGGAATGCGAGCAGAGCTTTTGAATGGAGATTCTTAAAGACATAGATTTACGGATTCTTTTGAATGGAGGTTCTTAAAGAAAGATATTAGACTTTACGATGTTTTGTCTTGAGGATGACAAAAAGGCTTCAGACAAGAAAGCCGACGAAGAAACGCCAGGGGCGAGATCCTTACAAGATCGTATACACATCGTTCATGAGTTTCATGTTCCATCTTATCAAAGCCAGACCGAGCTGAGGTGAGAATGCGTGGAGCAGAAGCCTTTGAAATTACCAACAAGCAGACATACAACTTCAACTCGATGCCCGGTCTACCAAGAAACGATTGTGAAAAAAGTCCAGAGGCATTCAACAACATCGCCCTTTTGCCTTTTTGGCAACTACTTGCTAGCAACTGCATGACCGGAGCGATTGTTCGCAAAGGCTTAGAGACCAGATTTTGAAGAACACTTACTTCAAGACGTCACTTGACTGCAACATGTTTGTGCTTTTGATACTCTTGAAAATTGCCTAAGACATCCATGGTGGCAGTGTTTGCATCACTTGAGGTTGGTCAAGATCGACACGTTTGAGGGGATCATGGATGACGCTTTCCTTCAGAGTTTGTTATTCAGTTGGAGCAAGCTCAACCTCTTGCAAAATCATCTATCAAAATGTTCTTGGCCAACACAAACTACTGTAATTGTTGTTTTGCAACACCTCCGGGAAAGTGTGTTTAAACAAAGGATGATGTTGAGAACGTATATTAGAGTCATTTTCCGAGAACGTTAGCTTCCCGCAAGGATCTGACTATTCTATATACTGGCGGAATGTACTATTCAACGTGTAATTAGACGTTTTTCAATGTACCGGAATGGACCAGATAGATTTTGTTGCCAGTTATATACTGGCACGGCTCGTTTTGTGACAAGGCATGCATAGGTGCTGTGTGTTTTGGCATTTTTCGGCACGTGTGGAAGTTACAGGGCGTGCAGCTTGAAAAGAGGATGGTGATTGGCTTAAAGTATATATATAGGCATTATATAGGAGGTTCCGTAGTGGATGATACACCTTTGATTCTAACGAACTTGTACTTTGCAGGGCTTGTAGTCAGGCGACCTGTTCTATTCAGTTGTTCTTGCTGTGATGCAAGGATGTCCAAGAACAAGGAAGGATGTTCTACTACTGTATGTGTCACTGGCTCTTTTGTTGCAAAGTGGGCCTGAAAAAGATAAAACTGTCAGCTATTCTTGAGGATAGCCTCATTCTGATTATTAAAGGGCAAAGCTTTGCAAGTGCTTGTGCAATAATTATCCCTTTGACAAAGGCTGTTTGTGCAGGTGGCGCAAAAAAAACAGACTTGCAGTACGCAGTGAACATCTATGCCGAGAGCAGATCGACTTTTAACCTTCCCGAGTTCTCAATGGACCTCCCATACCCGCCGGTGTCTGATGGTGGGCCTCCGATTTCCAAGCCTGTCTTGATACGCCTCCCATTTCAGTGGCCTCCTGGTGTGCTTCCAATCCTTGATTGTGTCGAGTCGAGCAAATGTTGCACTTTTACTGCAGTCTGTAAATATGATTAACTTTCTCGGGGTGGTGGCACTTTGCGCAATTATGTGTTAGTTCAGGGTTTGCAAATACTGCAATCCTATGCAATCCTCACAGTCCTTGCATGTGCTCAGTCAACCGACCCTTGCGAGCTTTGGAGAGCCGATTCTAGTTGATCGAAGTAACACTACAATGTCCTCTCAAATCCACGACTTGTGCTGGTGCTGAGAGGGTTATGATTTGTATTATACGCACGAGCTTCGCAATGGTAAGCATTGCTACACCACTACAGCAAATTGTAATAAATTGTAGGGCAACGCCACACTCTTTGAGATCCCAATAGGCCCCACGCGGGAGATCAACCGCTTGGATCGTCTTGGGGTATGAAAATGATTCGACGTGTGCTGCTCAGGAGATGTACCAGTACGTTGAGACTGCTGAGACTTATGGTGGTGGATCGACGTGGTTGCCCCAATTGCAAGACTAAATGCTGGGAAGTCAACTTGTAAGCACTTGCATTTTCGCTACTGTGTTAGGTTGGAGGCCATCGCTATTATGTTGGAGGCCATCGCTTCTAGGTTGGAGGCCATCGCTTCAAGGTTGGAGGCCATCGCTCTTAGGTTGACCTGTTGAACTCTGCAGTTTGCATCGATATGGATCGATTCCGATGCCTCAACAATTAAGAGTCATGCCGTCATGCTTTGAGTGACCAAGGACCGTTCCATCTAGCCTTTTTTGTTGCCTGTATCGGTTATTCACCATTGGCCTTGCTGGCGTGTATTTGGTATATTGAGCTTCGTATTTCAACAGCTGGAATGCTTGAAGAACCTTTAGGAAACATCAGAAACCAAATGAAAGCAATATTTTGTGTTTTCAGATCAAATTTTTGACACATGTACGTGGACATTCAATGGTACAGTACTTGTACAGGGTGCTATGCTGTCACTGTCAATGCTTCAAGATTCTGAAAACACTAGGACAAGACCTTGTTACTTGCTCCTGTGGGCCAGGTACAGAGCAAGCAATTGTAATATGTTACAATCCTAATTCTGCTTGATTAATTTTGATTCTGATTGATCCTGCGGCAGGCCTCTCCTATGATGAATTGAGTTTGCTTTGCGAATCGAAGGCTTGGACTTGAATCTACCCTCACCTTCTGGATATTGCCTCTTATAGCTAGAGCCAAAGGCAGAAATCAAGGGGATGGGATTGATGATTCCCGGCATGGTTTTCACATTGTCTCATGTTTTCACATTGCATGCATTTTGGGGGTGCCGGACTGGTGCAGGACTGGCCCTACATTCGCTGCTGCGGCTTCTTGTACATCCGCTTTGGCTCGGATGCTCGGACGGTTGAGCGTGTTTGAGCTTTGCGTTGTACGATTCTGACTATCTATCTATCTATCTATCTATATTCTCAGTGAGTCTCTTGTGCGAGCTGTGGATCAGAAACACTGCTACATGTTGTGGAGAACCTCAAACGTCAAACTTGATTAAGTAACTTGATTTGAAAATTGACCGACTCCTGTTTTGTGTGAATGAGTTGAAGCTAGGCTCCGGCCAACGTATTACTGCTCTTTCAACACGTTTCAACAGCTTTCTCATCCTACACTTGTGCCCTGAAGAGGTTCGAACAAGAGTCATAGCTGTGCAAAAGCTCTCGAAGTCACGAGTGCCACGCCAATGTGCATGTTTTCCCACAGGGTACAGTATTTCTGACTAGGCGCTTCCTGCACATCTCCAGTGCTTTAGACAAGAGAGCGCATGCAGCTTTGGTTCCAAAGATTAATTCTTGGGCCTCTAGGGTTTGCTGGTTTGGTGCCCAGATTCCAGTGTTGTCGAGACTTGCGGGCTTGTGTGGCTACGCTGCAATATGTTCAGTATATAATTTAATTACCACCACAATGCTCCGAAAACACTGACTGGCGCTTTGAGCAGCGCTCCCAGAAGTGTTGCACATCTCAGCAGATCTGTAAGAAATTAAAGACTCCAGTTTGCACTGACGAGAAAGGGAAAGGATAGACCACCACAAACTCATTCCCAAAAGGATTATGTTTTGCTTTAAACAAACTGCATTGCCTCATCTCACGGGCAAAATCAAATCACCAGCTGCACCGGGGAACCGGGGAACCTGCAGGGGAGCGTACTTGCAGGAGCCTATACTAGGGTGTGCGCAGCAGCACAAACAATAGAAAACCACTAAGAGAGAACAGCGGCATATTACTACTAGCGATGGCCTCCAACCTATGGAGCGCATAAATGACGTTCTGGACAAGTGGCAGATGATGCCCCTCGTAGGGCGGCGCGCAAACACAAAGAGCACGCGCGTTTTCCCTCATAATTTGATGTTTGACATTATGTTTGCATTTGTTTGTTGTCCTACTGGTACTTATACAAAAGAGGAGCTCAGTTGCGCTCTGCCCCATGATTTCAGTCTATCAAGCTCACCGAGGATAACATACGGCCCAACGAGCCCCATAACAGAACCACCATTGCCAGGTTAGAGAGGACACAACACAAAAACTCAGGTTTTCTAAAAACAGCTTTGGTCATGCATCAGAGGGATCAGAAGCTGCAGGCACGCGTGAGGTGCAGATGGTGAAGACCAATGCATTTATGACCTCAAACCGCTGAATGATCAGGCACCACAGAGCCACACGCAGCGTAGACTCATAGTGTCATAGTCATAGACACACAATTACAATCAATTACATAAATCACGAAAGGTATGTTGAGTTTGTTTTGCGAAGCAAGTGTCGGCGAGTCCGGGTCGAATAATTGATTGCTCAATTCAACCCCCCCCCCCGCCCCCCGGGGAATTGATTTTTCAATACCGACCCCCTTCTAAATTCAATTCTCTCCTGGAGAACGTCTTCGTGAGCCTCTCATGATTTCAGGATAGTTGAAACCCTCTTGAACATTCAGAAAGAGTGCATATGAAATTCTAATCACGAAAGGTGTTCCCCGAGGGGATACATACCTAGAGTTTGTTTTGTCAAGCACGTCAATTCTCTCCTGGGGACCGTCTTCGTGAGCCTCTTATGGTTTCAGGATAGTTTAAATCCTGTGATGCTCCGATTTAATGCTCACCGATGATCTGAGCCATGGGGCAAGTTTGTTTTCCTAAGAATCTTTGTGAACATTTCGAGAGCATATGTTTGAACATTTAGAGTGCATATGAAATTATATTTACGGAAGGTCGCCTCCGAGGGGATAAATCACCATGTCGAACATTGCATTTTTGTTCTTGCCTCTCGCGTTCTCTTCTCTTCCCGCTGTCCTACCTTTCGTGTCTCCCTCCTCTCAAGTATTATACATAAATTATTGTAAGCCAAACAATGCCATGAACTACCCGACCCATGGCCTTACAAACTGCCAAAAGAATCCAGAAAAGGTTGTTCACGAAACATATAAAGCATGATTTGCTACAGCAGGAGTAGGAAGGATTTAAGTTGCCACAAGTTGGTGTATGTCCAAAAACACAGCTTTCTTTTGAACGATTGTAAGATGATACGGCTATGGATAGAACACCACAACAATTGGACAACACTGATCAAACATTTAGTTGCATGTAGTTGGATGCCTACTCGTAAAAGCCACAACGCTGGTTGATGATCAACGGTTGATGCATTTCCATTGCATTTCCCATTTGTACACCTGCTGAAGCTGTGAGGTTGTGCCCCTGAGAAGCTGTGGGATTTTCTGGGCGAGTACTGCGTTGATGATGAAGAGTTTGGATTCTTAGAGACACGCTCGTCCATACAATAATGTTTTGTGCAATGCACCATATAAACGGGTCAGTATATATATATATATTATATATGCGAAGCTACCGATGGCAAACGAGGTCCAACGTAGCGGGTGGTGTAGAGTCGAGGTCCAGGTGGCCAAAGTAGAAGAGAACGTGAGGACCACGACACACCGCAAAACGAATTGGAACGCGCTCGCGCGCGTTGCGGCCGAAACCTGTTTTGAGCTCATGAGCCCGCCCTGCGGTGCGGACGGGTATGCTTCAAGTGAAAACATGTTGTACAGCGTGCAACTCACACAGGCAGTGTTCTTTACCTGTGCTCCGAGTCAGTCAGCCGTGACAGGCAGAAGTTGTAGTCTGCCAGCATGGCGGGTGCCTTGGGAAATTATTCCAGGCATACCCTTACGTATTGGAATATTTTTGCTGGAATATTTTTTCTGGAATATTTTTCCATGCAGGTATGCCATACCCCACCGTGGAGCTTGTCGTGGAATAATTGTTTAAGGTATAAATATGTTAAAGCGCTGTCCAAACTGAGCGATCATCTCAGAGGGATCCAGAGGGGTCCATACCAAATAGAGGTAAATTAATAAGTCGAATCAAAACAGTCGATATCAATCGATGTCGTCTTTTTGAATGCAGAAAGAAACTCTTGGACACAATAAGCTTTTGGATATGAGCTTGGGATGTTTGATTTTTGATTCAAATACATATATTGAAATGGATCCAACAGATTTTGGCAGTACATTAGGTGAAGAGACTGGGGATTGGTCAGTTTACAAAATATATTCCATATGTAATCTAGAGGTCACATACTGCTGGAATATTTTGAGGGAGACTTGGATGTGTGTCAAGTTGTTAAGATGCCAGAAATTATTCTAGGAGGTTCCCGCCCTGTGGAATAATTATCCAAATCGATGTTCAACCCTCCAGGAATAATAGATAAATATTCCTGGAGGTATCGACGGTCTGAGGTATCTAAGGGATCCCCCATCTGCCAGCCACGTGGCCACTTCATCTCTCAAGCAGTCTCCCTGCGAGGACGAAGGGCTCGGACTTGGAAAATCGAGCGGACTGCGGTGGTCTCCACAGTAGGCACAAATGCGGAGGTGCAGCAAGTTCGGCTCGGTGATCTGCTCCGCACAGTGGCACGTGGGAAAGTGCCAGCAGATGCCGTTCTTCCTGGAGGCTACGATGGGCTGTCGATGCGGGCATTGGTCCATGTGATCATCCATCGCGGTGATCAAGCGACGGAACATGGGTGCAGCATCCTGCACGAGCGGACGGAGGTTGAGGATCTCCGTCATGGCCAAATCCACAGCTCGGCGAGATTCGCGAGCCGCCATCTTGTACTCATTCACTCTGGCCTGTTCGCTCTTCAAGGCTTCACGAAGCCGGGCATGGACAATGGGCTCATCCTTCTGATTTTTTTGGGTGAAGGCATCAACGGTGGTCACCTTCTCCTCTTCAATCTTCACTTCTTTTCCCCCTTTCTTTTCACCTTTCGACCAGCGGCCCAGCAGGAAGGCGATCACAGCAATCGCCAAAGGTGCTACTGCAAAGAGGGCCAACCAGATCTCGTCGCTCAGCTGCGACCGTGGTGGTGTTTCATCCACCAGGCACGTAGAAGGTGCTGCTTGACAGCACTGCAGCAAAAACAAGAAAATCATCCAAAACATGAAATTCTTCGAGCGACCCTTGGTGTCATACTTCATGCGGCTCTTCGCGACATGGCTTGTGGCGAGGACATACGGAATCATGTCCGTGGAGTGAGCAAAGTTCACAAACTCCTCCGGGCCAACAAACTCATCTTCCATGATCTCCTCGGACCTGGGGATGAAGTCATCAGGTTTCTGATGATGGACCTGGGAGGTTGTCTCAGCCAAGGCTGTGTTCTTCTCATCTTTGGTCTTTTTCTTCATCGCTTTGTAGGTGGGGTCCCAGGTGAGCTTCAACTTCTGGTGCTTCAGGCGTGCTGCAAAAAGGGCGCGAGCAGACTCCTTTGTCAGACCATCGGCGATCTGGCGATCGCTGCTCATCCATTTGAGGTTTCCCCCAAGTTCCAACAAACGCTCCTTCATCGCACGAATTTCCAGGCTCACGCGCTTGTCGACAACAGATGAGCTTGCACCTTCACGATGAAAAGCGTCGTAAAGAGCTTTTGCATCCGTGATCATCACAGGCTTCAGGGAGGATTGAACCTCCAGCAACTGCTTCAAGGGCATGTGGGGCTCCATGAGGTGGTGCCAAAACCGACAAGCAAAGTCGACAGCGTCGCTGGCTTGACCGCCAGCTTGTGCCTCAGCTCCCAAAGATGACCTTGCCACCCTCGGAGTTTTGAAGCTGCGCCAATCCAAGATGTGGTATTCGCCCTCCTCGGCGGAATGCATGAGGTCCTCGTTGACCATCATCAACACATAGCCACCTTGCGATGACCCGTCGAGGCGAGTGGAGAATCCAGCATCAAAGAAGCACAACAAACGCAACTTCTCTGCAGGACCGAGGTGGTTGTAGACAAGGCCAATGTCCTTGTTCTCTTTTGCAAACTTTAGCAACCTGTTGCAATCCTGGACGGTCTGCAGAGTGGCATTGGAGACATGGGCGGCCATCAACGATGCGCTGCACTGTAGGTGTGGTGAGGTCTGTACCGCAGGCCACTGCAGTGAACCAAGTAGGCCCCTCAACTGTGTCACTTCACGCTCGTTGAGCGGCTGGTGGAGAGGAAGCTTCTTGTCATAGGCAATGGGCTTGACCTTGTCAAAGTATTTGCCTTGGTGCAGTTTTCTTCCACCCTCGGGCGTGCGCTGCAGCTCACAACCACAATACTCCATCACTTCAAGATCTTCTTTCCACTCCCGGAAGGAGAAGTTCTCTTTGAGCTGTTCAACGACTGCAGCATATCGAGGGCTGTTCGGGCAGCCGGCTCCCAAGAGGTCGTCCACGTGCATGATGACCATGCCCACCAGGCGTTCAGATCCCAGTGAGTTGACCTGTTGATGGATGGGGTCGTGCTCATTGAAGTGGTCATCATCGGTCTCATAGATGAGAAATGCACATGGATCGAGGGCGTGTTGCCGGAGACCTCCACGGCGAAGGCGATCAACTGCCTCAAGATACCAGCCTCGGGGCGCATCGATCTGGCCGTAGCAGGGTTTCAAGAGCAACATGCGGGCGTCTTCATCGGCACCCAAGAGAGCCAGGGCTTCCGAAGGTAGCTTCACCCACAACTTTCTGTCTTGTTCTCGCCCCTGAAGGAAGGCGGTGCTCACGTCAGCGGTCCAAGTAGTCCAGCTCATGGTAGTGGCCAAGGACAGCAACATAGAGCGGGACAGGCGAGTTGTGGTAGGACTTGATGTCTCAATGCTTCCAGCCAGGGTGTCAGGGTCAGCAAAGCCACGCACAATCAGGCGAGCTTTCGCCCGTGGAGACCCGTCAGGGTTCCGGGACCACTTCAGCAGGATTCTTGATGTCAATGTCCTGGATGGGTCCGCCTCCTTGGTGGACTGGAAGATCCACACATGGTGGTCAAAGAAGCTTTTCAACTCTTTCACCTTGGCCTCCTTGAACATCGCTCGCTCTTGTGGACCCAATGCCCGCTCATTCACTGCGTTCTTCTCCTTCTTGAACTTCTTTTGTTTGGCGAGCTTTTGGTCCTTTCCTTGTTGTTTTGCACTCGTGAACTGGTGGTGTCCACTGTACATAGCAAGTTCTCTGCGAGCGTTGCCGTTGAGCTGGAAGATGGTTGCTCCAGTCCAGGTGTGCTCCACTCCAGGGGGAGGACTGCCATCATAGCCGCTGTCAGTGGTCAAACGGCTCTTGCCTCCACCTTGGTGAATCAGTGTCACCCGCACACTGTCCAGCTGGTCAGGACTGACCGGGCAATCTTTGGGAAGATGTTCAAGATGTAGGCGTCCACGACGGGGCACAACATGATGCCTGATCAAGCAGCCAGCTTTCAGCTCCCAGTAGTCGGTGGTGCGATCATGTAGTTGGAGGAATCCATGTTCATCCATGAACCATCCGCTGGGCAGCATTTTGGTGTCCAGGTCATCCAGGTAGAAGGCCTGGCCAGCTAGCTCATGCTCGTCTTTTGGTCGAGCTGAATGATGTTCAGGATCATATGGCCTCGTGTCGGGTGGTTTCGCTCTGCTTCGGAAGGGTGCGAAGCTGAGAGTCTCCTGCTTGTTCAGTCGAGCTCTCCTCTGCTGAAAGGTTTCACCTGCAACTGTCTCATACAGTTGGGCCGTCACCGGATCGAGCGATGGTCGCTCCTGGGTCATGCTTGCTTGTGGTCGTGATGCATGAGGTGTTGGAGCTGCCGAAATGGCAGGCGGCTCCTCACTTGGCTCGGAGATTGAGATCGAGCTTGGGACCCGTGGTAGTAGTCCTGGGGTTTGTGTATCTGCCGCTGCCGCGTCGTTTGTATCTGCCGCTGCCGCAGGTGGTGCTATGTCTTGTTGCTCTGTGTGTGCTGGTGATGTTGGTTCGTACTCCTCAGCTGAGGGTACTGCCGGCGCCGCCGATGAAATGCCAGGTGGCATGGAGGTCGGTGCTGCAGCAGTCTCTGAGGCCTGAGGAGGTTCCACGCCAGGTGGCAATAGGCGTGGTCGTCGCCTTGGTGGTGTCATCTCATGGTCAGAGTCTTCTTCCATCACATCACCATGAAGCTCTTCGGCGTGCTCATCAGTCTCGACCTCGGCGAGGTTGCGCTTGTTCAAGTGGTGCAGGTCATAGTACCTGGTCACTCCTCGAGACTTGAGTTGACGAACCGAAGTGAGAGCTTTCTGCACATCATCCAAGGCATGTCCTGAGCTTTTGACATCAGCACGGACGTGGTGAGGTGCGCAGCGAATCAACTGGGTCTTGTAGGCCAGCCAATAGACATTCACTCGCTGCTGTCCAGTGTCATCGGCCTTGAACTCCTTCATGACGATCTGGGCAGGGCCAAGCCAACGAATCTTCACCAGATCAGGCTGTTTGGCGTCACGCCAAAACCAAACTTGTTGACCAAGGCTGTACTCGGAGTTCAAGCCTTTGTACTTGGCACCAAGAGCACGTCGAAGGCGACGATCGGCATCAGCTTCGATCAAAGCTTTCTGAGCAGCGGTGCGCTTGTTCAACATGGCCTCAAATGCTTCATGTCCGCCAAAGTGTCCAGGGCGGAAGTTGTCACCAAGAAGACTGCCAGCTAGTTGTGGTTGGTGTCCAAGAACCCATTGGGTCGGAGAAAAGCCAGCAACTGAAGGCGTGCCATTTATCTGGGGCACACAGTAGGTGAGCGCCTCCTTGATGCCAGAGGCGTCATTCAGTTGCACGTCATCCATGTAGACCTCAATGGACTTGCGGAGGATGGCATGTCTTCGTTCAACGATGGCCAGACGTTCATGGGCCTCACCAGGGGCAACGGTGTGCTCATTGCCGTGGGCGTTGGTCCAGGTCTCAAAAGTTTGACTGAGCCATCCACGTCCTTCGTCGGTGACCAAGCGCTGTGGTGCTCCAAAATGTGCAATCCAACAACGTTCGAGACCACGGATGTGCTCCTCGGATTGCTCTGAGCGCAGCAAGACAGCTGCTGCGTAGCGAGTTGCCAAGTCAACCGCACTAAGGACGGGGTACTTGACGGCGTTCTTGAGGCGCAGCCAGAAGACATCTGCCTGCAAGGCATCGTTGAACTTGGTGCTCACTGGAAGAGATGCTGGTGCAGCATCTGCAGGCTTCTTGTACTTGGCGCATGCCACACAAACGTAGGAACGAGCAGCGCGAAGGACTTCTTCATTCGCCCCTCGGGCGGCCAGTAGTTCAGTGAGCTCTTTCGTGGAAGGATGGCCAAGGTTTCTGTGGAGACGTTGAACCACTCGGATGGCCTCTTGTTTGGTATCAGCACGCAGCTTGACCAAGTTGCCAGTCACCAGCTTCTGCCGTCTCCCAAACTTGAGGTGCTTCATCGATGAGGAGTGCAGAAGCGATAGTGCTTGCAAGCGCGGGCTGGTAGTTCTCCATGTACTTGGTGCGAGGGCCAAGACCAAGGGCAGATCCTTCCAGTGCACAATGGTCGTGCTCACCATTGCACGTCAGAGTGAGGGCTGCATGGCCTGTTTGGTGGTCATGATGGTGGTGCTCTTCTTGACTGGGCGCCAGACCATATCTTCATCTTGACATGTTGCTCCATAGCGACATTGGTCAAAGTCGGCGCGTCGACCAGGCAAGTCACGAAGCGCCTTGGTCTTCCAGGAGAGCGCATGCTTGGGCTGTTCCACATGGGCGTGTCGACCACCCTCGACCTGCTTGAGGTAGGCACGGCGCACAAAGCAAAGATGGCGATCGTGATGATGATGTCGAGCTGCTATCAGTGCTTCTTGCTGTGCTGGTGTTCTTCGTGCCAGGGTTCGCATGCGGCTCCAGAGTTTGCGTTCAGGTGCCATGAGCAACTCATCTGGTGCTTCTTCATCGAGCTCACGAAGGAAGGCTTCTTGATGATCAAGTCGATCGAAGTTCCAGCCAGTGTCCAGTGAGAAGCACCGAACACTCATTCCCAGCGCTTCAGCCACTTGTGAGGTGCGAGCTGAGCCACAATAGACCTCCCAGAGGACACGCTTCGGCTGTTGTTCTGGAGGATGTAGGTGACGTGTCACATAAGCCGCTACCACCGCAAGATGTCGCTCTCCAAACGGTCCCAAGAGAGTGTTTTGAACATTGTCGGATCGTTCAAAGGTGTAGTCTGGCGCCTGTTCGAAGACTGGGGCCTCGACAAACTGGAGAAGGACAACGCCTTTGAAGACATGCTCAAGGTGTTGGATGGCAATTTCGCCTACGACCAACGGGTCCAGCTGCCATCGGACTTCGAAGGCTACTTCTCAGGTCTTCAACGGCTCCCTGGTCAGACGCTTCTCACCTACGTCAACGACCATGAAGAGGCCTACAGGAAGCTCTTGGCGCACAAGGTGAGCCTTCCTGATGCAGTTCAAGGTTGGCACCTCCTCCGTCGCGCCTCGCTGACAGCGACAGCTCCTGATGCTCAAGGCACCCGCCCTCGAGAAGGCCGCAGTCATCGAGGCCTTGTACCTGATCCTTGGACAAGACTATAAGGGTGGAGGTTGGAACCACGACCGCAACCGGTGATTTTCCAAGTGGACCAACAAGGCCTATGCAGCTCAGGACGACTGGGAGGAGATGGATGAAGAACCAGTTTGGGAGGAGACTGGTTACTACGAGGAGGACTACCCCATCGGGGACTATGACCATGAGGAGGGTGACTTTGATGATGAAGCTGGCTACTATGGAGGTCAGGACGATGATGCACCCTGGCCGGACTCCAATGAGAACACGAGTCCAGAGCAGATGGCTGAAGAGTTTGACACTGCCTTCGCCTCCTACACGGACGCTCGCAAACGCTTCAATGAGTTGAAGATGGCTCGTGGCTTTCTCCCTGTGGTTGCACTCACTGAGCAACAACAGCCTCTGCAGACAGCAGCTTCCTCGTCCTCATCCCCTACGGCATCCTCATGGCAAAGAAAAGGAAAAGGAAAAGGGGGAAAGAACAAAGGAAAAGGTCGTGGCTCCTCGGCGACCGTCCGATTCTCCCCACAAAGTGCTGGAAAGAGTGATCCAAAAGGGAGAGCACGAGCCAACATGACGTGCCTCCGTTGTGGACAACAAGGTCATTGGGCTGCAAACTGTCCACAATCCAGCTCGCCTACCTCAAAGGGCTCAAGCTTGAAGCGACCTGCACCTACCGAGAGCATGGCACAAGTGGCCGAACAGGCCTTGCTCATCTTCGAGGACAAGAACGGCACTCAACGTCCCGATTGCGTGATGTTGGATCCTGGTGCCAGTGCCTTCCTCTCCGGCTATGGTCCCTTCCGTCGCTACTTGGAGCACCTCAAGTTCGACTGCAACTTCCCCAATTGCCATGACCCAAGGAAAACGAAGATTCCAGTTCGGTGGCGATGCTGCATCCTGGTCTACCTGGTCGGCACACCTCCCAGTGTTCTTGGATGGTCGCTATGGAACAGTGCAGTTGTTCCTCCTGCCTGGCAATACGCCAATGCTGTGTGGTCGCCCCATCATTGAGGCTTATGGCATGACCATGGACTTTGCCATGAAGCGCATTCGCATCGGCAGTTCAAGCTGGCAGGAAGCCACCATCGGCCGTCAAGGTGAGTACTTGCTCTCGCTCACCATGGAGCACGACCTCATGCAGTACGACCCCGACCAGCCTGACTTCGCCCTCAAGACCGCTGAACCTGATCTACCTCAGGTTGATGGCTTCACCCTGCACGACTTTGAGCAGGAAGAACAAGGGTTCACGGTCAGTGAACGAGCTGAAGTAGTGGATGACAATGCCACCAAGTGCCTCCGACGACACGACCTCAACACCATGGACGTGCAGCTCAGAACCCATCTGGACCCTGTCTCTACTGACTGATGTCATCTCTTTACCGTCCTCCAGTTGTACATCAGCCTGGCTAACTGGATAACACACGGCCTCATATTGTTGCTGACAAGCGAATCCTCCCAATATGATGTTTATCAGTCGTTTTGGATACACTTGGGTTTGAATAGACCTCAACTGACCCCCTGATCGGCCTTCCACCACCTTGCTCGAGCCTCGATCACATCTCGTTCATGTTGTTCAGGATCCGCCCTTTTCCATGGTGGGGTCGAGTTCTGAAGCCGGGACAATGGGCCACACGGTGGCGAGAGGATCCAATGACCTTCAGCCCAAAGTCTCCAGCACGCTCAGCAAAGCGCCCAGGGCAAAAGACTTCCACCACGGATGGCCTTTCCGGTTCAGCCTGCAGGATCTCCGTGAGATTTCCTTGGATCTTCTTTCTCTCCCCGGCCTTGAACACTCCGATGTCCCCTGTCTCATCTTCGCAGAACTCTTCCTCCGGTTCGCTTGCCGTCAGGTTGTCCTGGTCACCAGTCCCATCGTGCTCCTCATGGTCCTGGGTCTCCTGGTTTTCATTCTCATTGTGCTCGGGTGTCTCAGTCTCATACTCTTCCGGGGTCTCGATCTCCTCAACCTCTTCATCCCCTTCTGGTTCGGGGCTAGTCGGCACATACTCCTCCATCTCATCCTGAGGAATCGTGCCCATGGGATCGTCCCCGACATTGAGCTGGATGCGTTGACGCCACTCCTTGTAGTCGGCCGGCTGCCCTGAGAAGAGGGGGACATAGGAATCCCGAAGGTCAGCATAGCCAGTCTCATCTGGCTTGGATGTCGTCGAGCTCGACGCTCCTCTTCCATCTCCCTTCTGCTGCTTTGGCGGCGGCGTTCTGTAGGACAAAGATCTCCGCCGTGCTCCTCCCAAAAGGGTGTCCAGCAAAGAACTCAAGAAACAGGAGCGTGGCCAAGTCCGCAGAGGGAAGTCACCGAAGGACTTGTCGAGAGCGTGCGGCTCGAGGAACCGGAGTGCGCAGCTGGAGCCCTCCCCCTTCACGGGTTTGGGCTCCGCTACCAATGCGAAGCTACCGATGGCAAACGAGGTCCAACGTAGCGGGTGGTGTAGAGTCGAGGTCCAGGTGGCCAAAGTAGAAGAGAACGTGAGGACCACGACACACCGCAAAACGAATTGGAACGCGCTCGCGCGCGTTGCGGCCGAAACCTGTTTTGAGCTCATGAGCCCGCCCTGCGGTGCGGACGGGTATGCTTCAAGTGAAAACATGTTGTACAGCGTACAACTCACAATATATATTTTTTTTACTCAGAGACTTCCTGCAGACAACTTGTTGGCAACATTCACCATTCTTAAAATAGGTTCTGATGCGGAAAAGAGTTGGATGAAGGATTGTGCTGCTAGGTTCGAGCCCTCCAAATCAACCCCGGGCTTCATCGTCACTGTTGGCGAGTATGTCGAGGACGTTCAATCGAATCAAGCATGTAAGACCAATTGAATTTGCATGATTTGCTGCGTCATCAAGCGTTACTTATCCATGTCTACCTGTCAGTCGTTGCTGATGGATGAGAGATACTACTACTCGGCCTCGTTCCCAGCTGGGATGCGACTGCTTTGCTGGCTTGCTTGCACTCAACATTGCAACATTAGTACGTTTGTGACATGCAATAGTCTAGCGGAATGCAAGGGAATATATACAGTAGACGAAATATGGCGAAATACAATAGAAAGAAAACACTATTGCAAAGTAGACTTATTTTTCTTATAGTCTCTCAATGTCTCCGACCCTTTGGACTCATACTGTGGGTATGCTCTATGGATTTTACGTACAGAGTCACCAAGTCGACTTTCACTCGGATTGCATTTCCCTGAGACACTTCCACGAATCCCGATGGGCGTCAAGAAGAAGATTGAAGAAAAGGCGAGTACCCAGTGCAATCCAATGTGACTGCTGTGGCACCCCAAAGTGCTTGTTCGGCCTTCTCATTTGCAGTCTTTGGTTTGATGATGGATACGTCGTGTGCGAGCTTGGAGATTGGCCAACACATGAGTGTTCAAATGCCAACAGTTTCAAGTGAGCACCAATCATGACTCCATGTCATGTTGAGCTACCAGCAAAAGGCACTGAACTTATGATGTAGCCCCTTTGTAGTGCCTTACCTTGTTGTTTGTTGGGTTCTTCAAAAACATCCATCCCATCACATGTCCGAGTCTGGCAAATAGCTCCCCTTCAACCTGGAAACCCCAAAATCAATGTTGGTAAGTTGGGGGTCCTGGGCGTGTGGAGAAGGCACGAATGGGTTTTAAGAAATTAGATTGCTGTCCTTTTTGAAGAACCCGGTAGCACTCAAGATCTTAATACATAAGTGAGATGAAATAGAACTTGGTGGTCCATCCATTAATGACTTGTTTCTGAAAGGGCAATGAAGCACGGATTGCTACAGTAATTCCGATTCCTATAGACATGGTATTTCGTCAGACCTGGCAACAAGGCTTGCAACCCTGTCTCCAACACCAGTGCAATCAAATGGCGTGTGAAATATGGACATGATGCACAATCAGTTAAGGATTTCAGAATATGGGAAGCCCCAAGAAGACCAAAAACAAAAAAACAACCTATTTTTAAGAAATAGGCCCGATTCTTGTCCCTAGCATGCTTGAAGGAGTTGGGGCTTGTAGAGCCCACTGTTGGGTGTAGTTTCCAGGAGCTACAGGGGATCCACTCAGCACGCCACACAGAAGCCCCAAGAAGACCAAAAACAAAAAAACAACCTATTTTTAAGAAATAGGCCCGATTTTTGTCCCAAGCATGCTTGAAGGCATGCTTGAAGGGATTGGGGCTTGTAGAGGCCACTGTTGGGTGTAGTTTCCAGGAGCTACAGGGATTCTTCCACCGCAGGGCAGAGAGCCCCAAGAATCCCAAAGACAAAAAACAACCTATTGTCAAGAAATAGGCCCGATTACCAGTTTGCACGTGCAGGAAGCCATGGCAGGCATTCAGGCCCCCCCCAACAAATGCAGACGAGGTGAATGAAATTATTGAAATTAAACGAGGCGAGGTGAATAATTTCAAAACATGAAATTAAGACGAGGTACGAGGTGAACGAAATTAATGAAACTAATTTAATTCACTCAGATAAATGTCTCCGCACTATAACCCCTTACTAGTGGTCAACATTTTGTGTACATTCTCAGAGTCTTTTGTTTCGACTGATTCCACCTTTTGTACCGATTTCAGTTTTTGTATGTTTGCCGGATCTACTACCCCTCGCGCTTCCAGTTTAAGAGTGTTTGTTTTTTGCATACCTCAGACCGACCCAATCCGGTAGCTTCAGATTGCATAATAGGCCAACTCTGCTTCGCTATAATGAAGCCTATTATACGTGACATGACGGACTCTATCAGTAATTAATCTAATTCATCATTTTATGGAGCTGATTGAACATTTCGCAAATTTGATCAATAATTTCCATCATTTTATGTAAACTGATTTGATAATATTTTCACAATAAGTTTGACCATTTTAAGTATGTTTATGTAAAATTGTGGACGTTCTGGAAAATGAGTCTGTTTTGAGTATTAAATGCTCACACATGACCTTCAGGTAGCTCCTTTGGGGCAGTCTTGAGCTCGGTGTGCACAATTGGGAGGGAGGAACAAGGCACAGAACATGCGCTATTGAAGTTGTCATTGAATTGTTTTGCAGGAGGCAGAGACCATCAGAGACCTGTGTGTGGTGAGTTGCTGTTTTGCCCTCACAATAAACCGCGGGCTCCAACAAGTTGAACCAGTGCAATTCACAGATCGTTTGTATACATATGTAATCATATATATATATGTTTGAATGTGTTTGACTCCTTGACCATTCTAATTGTATCGTGATGTAATCACCATTCGAGCATGAAGTTTCAACAGAGGTTATTGCTTCTCTCAAAGGGTTTTAGTTGGTGTGCACCCCCTAGAATAGACACCTCAAGTTGTATCTAGCTGTTTTCTCGGATAGGCCGTGTTATGTGGATGTATTCTTATCCGGAGGGTTCATTTTAATTCCAAGCAATGGTTAAGCCTAAGCATGCAGCGAATCATGTGACACAGCTTCTTAGAACAGCTCTTTGTTGTAGCGGATTGATCCAAGAGGTTGCCACTTGTGGCACAGCCTTCCGTGCGATAACCCATTTGGTTGCTCTACCACTGCAGGTACAGAAGAAGAGCAGCTCAGAACAAGAGCTTGCTACACTTGTTCAAAGAACAAGGAACTCTGGTGGAGGCATTTTTGATTGTTAACTATTTGTTGTGCCTAAGTGTCTCATGCATTGTTCGTTAGAGGCACCAAGGATTCGAATTGATCGCAGTAGATGAGGCACCGTCAAATTGACGGAAGACTACACAAGTAAAGACAGGGACATGGGATCTCAATACGATAGTATACAATAGTACACACATGTACACACGCCAAAAACGATAACATACACAACAAATACACACTTATATAATCCTGACATCCTTTGATTTAGTAGTAAGCTTTGACCACGGCTCATTTTATATGCTCATACAATATACAGTGTGTCTCAGTGTAACCCACTTATGGTCTGACATTTGGCAAGTCGTGCAAAGATTGTAACTGTGAATGCATAAGGTTGCTTGCTGTGTGTTCTTGGCATTTTTCACTTGTGAAGCTTGTGGTATTCTCCGCAGACATTCGAATGATCGCCAGCGCAGAAACAGCATCTGCAGCAGCCCTTGCTTTGCTTTGCTTTTGGCCTTGGTTGGTTTCCCTTTTTGCGGTGGGATTCTCATCCTTTTGTGTTTGGGTTTGGCCAACCCACATAACCCACATTGGTAGCGGAGCTAGAGGGCGGTCTAGCGGTCCCCAGAGTTCCCTAGGCTGCCTCACTGCACTGCTTTGCATCCATGGCGGCTGCAAGCGATGAGCAGCATTCCATGGCGGCAGCTCAAGCAGCTGCGACACCTTTGCCGGCGGATGGACAGGCAGATCCTTGGCAGACGCCTGGTGGAGATCCATGGCAACCTGGACATGCAATGGACCAGGGAGGGCTAGTGACTGGGCAGGAACAAGCGACAGAAGAGACGGGCTCTCTGACGCATCTCTTGTCGGGTCAGAGTGGTGAGACAGAGACCGCATCAGGACCACCTGTGACACTGGGTTCTGTCCCACCACATCATCTCTCAGAACCTTCCCAAGCCGTAGGCATGAACCAGCCAACCATGGGGTCACCCCAGATGATGCCCCATTCAGGTGGACAGACGTTCAACATGACACCAGGCATGACACATCCACCAGGTCTGCAAACAGGACCAGCGGCTTCGGGCATGATGCATGTGGGTCCATGCCCTTGTCATCCGCCATGCTGGGGAATGGCACCAGGAGTCGGCTTTCAACAGACACCTGGATATCCCACACCAGCACATGGTTTTGGCATGTTTGGCACTCCTCCATTTCATGGACCGCCAGGGCACCCATGTATGGTCGGGCCAACACAGGTGACACCGATGCCATGGCCGTGGCCATATCCACCGCAGGTCACCATCATGCCACCCACACAGCATCCAGGCATGAGCCCAGGTGTCCCCAACATGCAGGTTCCACCGGTGTGCACTACTCCAGCATCCACAGGGACCAACAGCTGGTCAAAGCCGACCTCAACAGGAGAAGGAAGAAGAAAAGAAAAGATGACTGGGCCATCAGGTGAAGAAGAACCTCCAGATCCAGAAGAAGATGGTGCTAGCTCCTCAGCCCCTACTTCAGAGATTCGTTCGATGTTGAGACAACGTTTGAAGAAAGAAGGAGATGGTTTCCAGAGACCCAAAGAGCTCCCTTGGTTCAGTGAAGGTGGAGGAATTTTGGGGAGACAGGTCAAGATACCTGAAGTGGAAGAAGACTATCCAGGCACAACAATGCCTATACGGTTTGGAATCTCAGGAGTTGGCGATGCTCGTGTATCTCAGCACGAGGAGGGAAGCGCGAGATGTCGTGGAGCAGCGCCCGGTGACTTCCTACACCGGCTCAGGAGGACTCCATTTACTGTGGAAGGTGCTGGATGAGGCATTTGGAGAGACGGAGGCAGAGCTCTTTGAGAGGGTGGACAAGGAGTTGGAAAGATACCGTCGGGCGCCAGGAGAAACCATTCCGCACTACCTGGCAGAGATGCGAAGGTTGAAAGCTCAGTACAGCCGGGTTGATCCTGATACCAAGTTGTCCGATAGGGCCTGGGGCCAGAAGTTGCTGCACAAGGCATCGTTGAGCCGGAAGGAGAGACATGATGTGTTCTATTCCGCAGGTGCCTGCTATGACCCCGCAGCCATTGAGAAGGCATTGAGGATTCGTTGCAGCAAAGTTCATGAAGATGAGAAGAGGACAACCCGGCCACCAAGAGAGCGCGAGAAGGAAGATGATCATCACCGAAGCACTACATACAAGAAGAAAAAGATCTTCATCAAGAAGCGTGTACACGGCACCCACATCGCCGAGGCTGATGAACAAGAAGAAGATGAGGAGGCCGAGGATCAGGAGATGGAAGAACAGCCAGGAGAAGAGCCTGGAGCAGAAGAAGGTGAGGATGAAGACAACGAGACAAGTGAAGGTGAGATGGAAGAAGGAGATCTGAAAGAAGCCTTTGCAGCAGGATGGAAGGCAAAACAAAAGGTTGCAGAACACAAGAAGAATCGAGGGTGGAAGCCAATGGAGAAGAAGGGAGAAAAGCCACCCATCGATGCCCGGAAGAAGGCAACCACCTGTTCCTCATGTGGCAAGCAAGGCCATTGGCGTGGTGATGCAGAGTGTGCCAATGTCATTAGTGGACGAGACGCCCCTCACCAGAGAGCCACCGCGGCGCACTACACGTACATGGTTGGTGGAAAGGAACGACAATGCCTCCAGTGCTATTGGCCGGCCTTAGACACAGCCAAATTCTGTGGGGAGTGTGGATGTTCCCTCCCAGGTGATGAGAGGATGACTTCGGTGGCCAAGCAGAAGCGAGATGAAGAATGGGATGTGGTGGGGGAGATTCAGGAAGTCCAGATCACCCTTCCAAAGCATCGGATGGCAGAGATGGGGGCAGCGTCCAAGGCAAAGGCGAAAGAGAAGAGCAGCCCACCTCCGGGACACGTTCAACTTAAGGGACGTGAAGTCATGGCAGCACTCCCCAACATGACGAAGGAGGAAAAGCGGGCACTCCATCAAGCCTTGAGGAAGGATGCAGATGAAGAGGCAAACAAAGAAGCAGAAAGAAGAAAGGAACTGTGGAAGAGCACGGTGGAGGAGTATGGCTATGGCTTGGCTGGCATGGGTGTGTATGAACCGTCACAACGGACGCTGCATCCCGATGAACCTTGGCGGAGTAGCGTGTGGAGGCAAATGGAGGGGCCCGAGGCAGTGGCTAAAGCAATGGCCGCATCCTCATCAAGTGGCTATCAAGCCCCAGTACCACCCTCAAGCAAAGCCGACAAGCCCAAGCCAGTGAAGGAGAAGGAGCAATATGAGTTCAGAAGAAGCCTGTATGAGGCACAGGTACAATATGGTCGTTGCGTTCCATCCGTTTGACTCCCTCAAATGGCGTGCCAATGCTGATGGACACTATGCCCGCTGCAAGATATGCGACCTCAAGCATGTGATCTACTATTCCAACAGGCATGGCGTTCTGATGGTTCTTCAACGCGATCCACCAGAAGGAGTTAGCAAGACAGCAAAAGTGTGGATCAGGGAAGATGAGAGGGCGGCCACATATCGGATGGTCAACCAAAGGGGGACCATCATGGAGCCAGGTGAGATGCCGGGTCACCAAAGATGTTCATGGCAACTGTCTGGAGTGTCTGCACATCAGAGGACACGAAGAAGAGCAGGAGCTGAGAAAACCACTGGAAGGCCCACCAAGACACCTTGTGACGGAGTTTTGGTATGAGGACAAGAAGTTGAGCCAAGACAATGAAGCCTACAATCAAGGAAGTCAGTTCATCGTGACCCAAAAGCCCGGACTCGCAATTGCGGATTCCGGATGCAGGTCTTCAGGGGGAGGTGAAGTATGGCATGAGCACTGGCAGAAGGCCTTGAAGCAGTATCAGATTCCCTGGGAGGAGGCGCTGGAAGAAGAAACCTTCAAGTTCGGAGCAGGAGCACCAATCGTGAGCAGTAAAGCCTGCATATACCCCGTGATGGTGCATGGAGAGCCAGATCTGATTCGCATGTCAATCGTTGGAGAAGGAGCTTCAAACTGCCCCGGACTCATTGGACCAGGTGAGCTGAGCCGTTGGAATGCCATCTTCCACTTCAAGGACAAGAAGATTGAACTTCACGGAAAGAAGCAAGAGATGCGGCTCACAGCTACTCGACACCCAGGAATCGAGCTGATGACGTTCAAGGAGGAGGAGCTGCAGCGGTTGAAAGAATTCCTGAACAGCGAGAAGGCTGAGGAGAAGCGGAAGATCCTGATGGATGAGCCCCAGACACTCGCATTTCACAGCGAGTTGAAAAGCTCAAGTGAAGAAGAAGAAGAAAGCAGTGAGGAGACTGAGAAGGAAGACATGGAGGAGCGCAAGAAGGAATGGTTGAAGCACCTTCAAGAGGATCTGGGAATAAAAACAATTCCCTCAGTTGATGAGCTGTTGGAAGAAGAGGAGCACAGCAGTGAAGAGGACAAAGAAGAGGATGGAAAGGAGTCTTCCTCATCGCGTGAAAAGGGGATTGATTTCATCACGGATGAGTCAAGTGAAGAGGAAGAGAAGGAAGAGCAGGCCGAATACAGACATGCATACCCAGTGAACAACAAAACTGCTCACAAAGGAGTAAGAAGCAAGTTGGGGCATACTGCCAAAGAGATCGGCAGCTACTTCAGAGAAGAGGAGGAGAGAAAGAGAAAACAGGAGAAGGAGAGAAAGAGGGCACATGAAGAAAGGAAGCGAAAGGCCAGTGAAGAGAAGTTTGGAGAAGAAAAGAAAAGGAAG